TTCCTACTCGTGTGACGCAGGAGGAAATTCAATACATGTACAACTATTTCAACAACAGTGTTAAAGTGTCAAATGTATTATAAACATGTTCAAATACATAAATGCAATCAATTGCGTCGAAAACATTCGCTTAAAACATATTATCTTCACAGTTAATACGTTAATGAGACAGAGCATGAAAAATCGTGCATACCCGCAGCAGTAACACTCAAATCTGCTCTTTACAGCTGAACTCATATTACATGTGGAAACTTATAATTAATAACAAGAAAACAATTTGCTAAATACGATCAGTTAACATTTATAACGAAATAAACAAGAAAGCAACATACCTTTTTGGGAAAAGATTAGAATAAATCACATTGGCTGAAGACAATACTGCAGATATTCATGGAAAAACCGCAGCAGTAACACTCAAATCTGCTCTTTACAGCTGAACTCATATTACATGTGGAAACTTATAATTAATAACAAGAAAACAATTTGCTAAATACGATCAGTTAACATTTATAACGAAATAAACAAGAAAGCAACATACCTTTTTGGGAAAAGATTAGAATAAATCACATTGGCTGAAGACAATACTGCAGATATTCATGGAAAAACTAGAAAAATAGAAATTACACCCTCAACTCATAATACAATTAACTGTCAGAAGGCTTAAGACAGACACAATGACCACATAAAATGAGCTCTTTCCTACTCGTGTGACGCAGGAGGAAATTCAATACATGTACAACTATTTCAACAACAGTGTTAAAGTGTCAAATGTATTATAAACATGTTCAAATACATAAATGCAATCAATTGCGTCGAAAACATTCGCTTAAAACATATTATCTTCACAGTTAATACGTTAATGAGACAGAGCATGAAAAATCGTGCATACCCGCAGCAGTAACACTCAAATCTGCTCTTTACAGCTGAACTCATATTACATGTGGAAACTTATAATTAATAACAAGAAAACAATTTGCTAAATACGATCAGTTAACATTTATAACGAAATAAACAAGAAAGCAACATACCTTTTTGGGAAAAGATTAGAATAAATCACATTGGCTGAAGACAATACTGCAGATATTCATGGAAAAACCGCAGCAGTAACACTCAAATCTGCTCTTTACAGCTGAACTCATATTACATGTGGAAACTTATAATTAATAACAAGAAAACAATTTGCTAAATACGATCAGTTAACATTTATAACGAAATAAACAAGAAAGCAACATACCTTTTTGGGAAAAGATTAGAATAAATCACATTGGCTGAAGACAATACTGCAGATATTCATGGAAAAACTAGAAAAATAGAAATTACACCCTCAACTCATAATACAATTAACTGTCAGAAGGCTTAAGACAGACACAATGACCACATAAAATGAGCTCTTTCCTACTCGTGTGACGCAGGAGGAAATTCAATACATGTACAACTATTTCAACAACAGTGTTAAAGTGTCAAATGTATTATAAACATGTTCAAATACATAAATGCAATCAATTGCGTCGAAAACATTCGCTTAAAACATATTATCTTCACAGTTAATACGTTAATGAGACAGAGCATGAAAAATCGTGCATACCCGCAGCAGTAACACTCAAATCTGCTGCGATACGGAAAGAGAAGAGGGACAAAATACTACATTTGCAGTACCATTATCGGCCACAGGAGGGAAGACTTCAAACACAAATTAATACAACAAAATGCCTTATTTTATGGAATTCACATATAAACTGTTTAAATTAAATGTTCTTTTTAACCCTGTTACATCCACATACACACTAACTCTCCAACATTTGTTTTCATAATTCTGTTGTAACTATTTAACAAATTGATGAAGTGTAGTCCATACAGAAATGTTCTATGATAAATAATAGTTCTGCCCAAATACAGTAGCTGCTACAGGAATTATTACTTTTTTTTAAGACAGTGGTGGCTAATACCAAGCTACCAGAGATTTATTGTGGTTACAACAGTAACTGTTATGAATTTGTTTTTGTTTTTTTTGTAGAAAATATTGTAATTTTTTTTCAAGGTGAGGCCATACTAATGTTTTGTTTTTAGAACTAAATTGCAACTATCAATTGCTGAAATGATTGCTGACTGACTTAAAATTTTAAGATGCTAAGTGCAAGCAGTCAAACAGAAATGCCACGATTTCTCATAATAAAGGCCAGAAGTTTATCTACACAACCATAATTTTCCTAATCATTTTGGTGGCACAACAAAGATTTTGTTTACCCACAAAGTGCTCTCAAAACTGCTCTCATCAATCAGAAAGTGTTTCTGCCTTTCACCTGAATGGTAAGATGCTTTAGGAAGCAAAGAAGCCCTTCTACTATCAGACACATTTTCAGACAATCTTTCAGAATGCAGTCAACGTTTCTGCCACTATTCTGATCAAACACCAAGATCCCATAATCACAATTTTCCCCTGAACGGCCCACATTTTATGCACAGTTGCTTGTATCACATAATACAGCTCAAAAAAGCATGTCAAGATGCATGACAACCAGCAATTAAAGTCAAGATTATTAAAGCATTTGTGTTTAATACGTCAGGTTGATGTGGGGGGTAAACTATTTTCTTTGTATTTTATTTTGGAGAGATTCAGTAGATCTATATTTGTCTGTAATAAAACAGTTTGCTTTGTGGTAGAATTCAGTGTACTGCAAGCAGTACAGCATTGAACAGCATCTACTGAGTTAAGTTTAGAGATCTATTATTATAGAGAAATCTATTATGTGTTAATTCACTGCACTTTTTTCATCTTTAAAAGTAAGATTCATTTGGATTTTAGTTTCTGACATTAATGATGCTGTTTCTCTTAGCCCGTTTAACACTATTGTCAAAATTTCCACAAACTATTATATTTTTTTGCAAGAAGTGTGCATAATTTATGATAATGAATGACTTTTTGCCCTCTAATTCACATTACCATTATCGTCCAGTTTTTTAACTCTGAGGTGGTTTTATCTAAATCAGCATAACGTATTATACAGCTAATACTATCATGATGTATGAATACAATTTTAAAAATGATTCATTTTCACATTATAGTGATGAGAATGAGGTTCTGCGCATTACTATAATGAGAACTATCAAATAATATTTTAAAATATACCTCATTTTCAGACTTAACAATATAATGAAAAGTGAAACTTTTAATGAAAATAGTAACCGTTGGGGAAACAATCATAAATCAGTTACACTTTTATCAACAATTGGTATGCACAGATCAAACAGTATAATAATTATTGGGAATTAAGCAGCTGTCATGTCAGCAAGGGAAACTAATTTATTACAGTGGCAAAATCAAATGCTGGGGGCTTTGATCCCTACTGAGATGAAGAGTGTAAGTAGGCTATTCATTAAGTGTCGTTCAGTTTGCTCTGCTGCACTTTTGATTTAGTCTTGATTTGTAATTATCTCTACGGGCATGCCTCTGATTAAATTCAAGATTTAGGTCAGTGAAATTTCATACATACATGCATAGTATGTGACATACATGTCATGTGTTTTTCAAAAAAACAAAAACATGCACTTCAATTACATAAAGTGATGATAGTCTGATGATAGGAACATTGGAAATGAAGGGTCTGACATCATTAGGGTACAGCAACTGCCAGAAAACACTTTTTCACGTGTCACTTAGCATGTGTTGTCATTTACTTGTTTTACAGTTACAGTTAAGCAAAGGAATAAAGTTTTTGACATTTTATTTGTTCCAGTCCAGAGAAGGATCTAAAGGACTCCCTTCAGCCATATGAAGCAGCTTACCTGTCCAAGTCTCTGTCCCGCCTCTTTGACCCCATCAATCTTGTGTTCCCTCAAGGGGGCCGAAACCCATCCTCTAATGATGAACTTGACAGCATCATAAAAACAATAGCCAGGTACACCTCCAATATGCATAGTATATCATAACTCTGTTCCATCATCATTTCCCTACTGTGCCACTATGCTGCCTTCTAATGCTGCTTTTCTACTGCATGGTATGGCTCATTTTTGTGGGGTTTTGCACTGTGTAGTACCTGGTACTTTTTTTGATACCACCTCAGTTGATGTTCCAAACGAGCTGTACCGATACTAAAATGTGACATGTAAACACTGCAGATCACTGATTGGTCAGAGAATCGTCACGACCAGCATTTGCAACACGAGACACCAAACCCGCTAGATTTAAATAGTCAGCAACAGCCACTGCAGGATAATTTGTTCGCACGTCTTTTTTTTTGTTTTTAAACGACTTGCTTTAAATGCCCGTTGCACTATAACAATCAGTCTATAATCCCACCAAATTTGAAGTGGTACTAAACTGCAGTGAAAACGCAAACCGAGCCAAAGTAAAGCAAGCTGAGCTGAGCCATGCCGTGCCATGCTGAGTCATACCACACAGTGGAAAAGTGCCATAGAAAGCTCATTTTTGGCCTAGTGTTAAGTGTTAACAATCCAATAATACACTGCAAGCATTTGGAGTCAAGAGAAATGTCAATTATAAATATAGTTACATTTCATATAATACTAAAATTTACTAAAGGACTAATAATGGACTGGAAAGTATATAGTGATTAGACTAACCATAAGCAGACTACTTATTGTTTTTATTGACTGTAATTTGCTAACAGTTGATCATATATGTTGTTTTTGCGTTAGTGAGCTGAATGTTGCATCAGTGGATTCCGGCCTGACGATCGCAGTGGCCAAGAACGCCGCCAAGACTGTGCAGCTTTTCTGCGTCAAGTCAGAGCAGTTGGTAAGACACACACAGAGATAATGAGCTAGGCTGAGCGGGAGGCTGTCTGCTCTCATGCCCCTCAACCCAGCCAGAGAGGTGACACACACGGTCGGCTACTGAGCTCATTATTAGAGCCAATGGAGGGTGGGGCTCATCTCAACAAGCGTCAGAGAATCAGAGCAACTGCTGAGAACCGTGACCTGGACAAGAGGCAGGGCGGATTTCAGCCTACCTAGTTAGAGGTGCTACTTGATTTGGTCTATAAATAGAAGCCACACAAATCAGGCAAAGATGAGATCGAGAATGCAATGCTTGGTCGGTAGTTGCTCGACCAAAAAAATAAATACCAGTAGTTGGAGGACAAATCAGTTTGCAACACAATATTCATGCTCTTAGTTTACTAAATGTACTTCTCTGCTGTCATATTGTGGTTAATAGATGTGTGCTTCTTGTGTGCTAAGCTATTGAAGTGGTCAGAGTGACCACATTAAGTTACATGGACAGCCAGCACAAGCTTTACAGTGAGATCCTTAATCAATAAATGGTAACATTTTACTTACAGCCTTTATGTATAATGCATTATAAAATTAGTTTTAGTGCATTAATTATGCCTTGTAATGCACATTATATGCATTGTACAATCTCATGAATAGTTGTAACCACAGTTAATGCATTATAACACTTATCAATTCATTGTTACACTATGCATTTTAAATTCATTTGAAATGATTTACGACAAGATATAATGTATTACAACGCACATTATGAATAATTATAATCCATTATATTCTTTATTAAAAAACGGATAGTTTCCTTGATTCTGATTGGTTGAGCCGTGTTCAGAGCTGTGTTACTATACATACACCTTTGTTTACTTTTGTGTGTTGCTTGGCAACCACTTTGTTGCAACCACAACTGTTTCTGACGAACAACATTTTTTGGTTGAAGAATACTGTTTTTATTAATATCATTACACTTTATTTGCTCAGTTTTATTTTGTGAAACCTAACTACGTATATGGAATAACCATTTTATAAAAGCAATAAGCCTCCGCTTCGCGTCGTGCCTAACAACGCCCCTTAGCTGTTATAATTTCACTGTAAACCATGGCTTCTTGGGGCATATTGCTTTAATAACCCTTTAAGTAAAGTGTTACCCAATAAATCAGTAGATCTATAGAGTTTGAGTTAACTACAAAGCCAAACTAGCTTTACAAGTGAGTGAATCCTCTCATTCCTTAATCAGTCTCATTTCAGTTAATCCGTTTCAGTTAATTCTGCTCTCCAAAGATTATGCATTTCTGAGATAGAACAAAAAAAAAATTTAAAGAGAACATTAAAGTACACATTTACCCTGTTTATTTTTTTGAAACCTGGAGATATCCAGCAATTGAAAAATGGTCATTTCCAAACAAAGTCATGAAAATATTTGTAGCGAAATTATTTTTTAAGGTGTACTCTGCTCTAAATATTTCATCATCTAGAACGAGAGCAGTCAAGCTGCTTGTAATTTTTAGTACTCATGAACACCTTGGTTAGGTTGTTTAGTTATGTTTGATTATGGATGGACAACGAATTGGGGTTAGGCAGGACAGTAGCTCTTCATTAACAGAGTTGAACATTTTTTCATTGACTATAAGGTCTCTATCAAGTAATCTAGTTTTTCCAGTTTATTTTTACAGCAAACAGACTCCATCAGTTAATGGATGGATATAAATGAAGACAAAGTGAAGGACTGTATCTCTATTGACCTCTCATATCCTTCCTGCTGTGATAATGGAATGGGACTTAAACCAACTCCGATCTACAGATTTACGCAGAGTGCACTTGCAGGGAGAATGATTTCCGAAACGTGGATAAAATTGCCGCCCAATGTGCCATATAGATGATAACCCCAGGCTTTAAGAGTGCTTCTTGCATCAGAGAACCTCTCCGTATGATTCATCTGAGCTGTAGCCTGTGTCCTGATGATGTACATTGTCACAATCCAATCAGTTGATCCCGTGGAAGCAGTTATTGCCAGCT